AGAGCTAAGTCCACTTTTCACCTCAATTTGTATGCATAGAATCATTTTACAACAGTACAGTTACATTAAAAGGAGACTCTAGTCCTAATTTCAAAGTAAATTCTAAAATAATCTCTCTTAAACCATATCCTCTTAGATTTAATAAGTTAATTTTATTTCCTGTTTGCATTTTTAAGGGCTTGTGTCTCATTTAAACATTACAAACAGAATTTGGAAATATTCCAGAATATTGATTATTGAATATGAACACATTCTGTGCTTTAGCAAATTTGTGGAAAGCTTCTTTAAAGTGTGAATTAATTGAAGTTCCCCATCAACCCAGTATGGTCCTGAGTCCTTGAGCCAAGGAAATCGGCCTGGGGTTTTTCCAGCTGTGTCTTGTGCAGGACGTTTGTGAACATCCCACTGACTGCAGACCTGCAATACTGAACTGGTCCCCGGCTACAAAAGAGCCAAGGGAACCATCAGGGAGGCTGATGCTGATGAGAGCAGAATAAACTCAGACCTTGAGACCACAGTTATGGTGCTGCTGTGACAGAACATGCTGTTTTCATATTAAGAGTGTGTTTGCAGTGATGGAAAAGCTCTGGAATAACGCTTTTAACTCTGTCTCATTGGGATAAGTCACTCCATAAATTTCACCCCTTCCTTGGGAGTCCTTCTATTGATCTGTTACCTTTCCAAACCCCTGTGTTTGCTTCATTGTGGCTGAGCTGTGCTGCTGCACTGGCTACTGGGTGTCGCTATGGGCCTGGAACACAGCAATTCCCTGATCATTCCTGCAGGGATAATCAGCCCCTGGGGAGCGAAGCGGCACTTCCCAGGCATCCTCGGTGTGTATTCACCAGGACACAACTGCTAACAGGATGCCATGCACCACCACAGCAGAAACATTTCTTCACTGCAGGAGTGGTTAAGCACTGGAGCAGGCTCCCCAGGGAAGTGTTGGAGTCACCATCCCTGGAAGGGTTCAAAAACAAGCAGATGTGGCACTTCATGATATGGTTTAGTAGGCACAGGGTTGTTCAGCTGAAAGTTGGACTTGGAGGTCTTTTCCAGCCTTAAGGATTCTAGGATTTTATGATTCTGTTTGCAGAGCCTGCAGCAATTAGCCTTCACTTCAGGAAGGAATTGAGATTTCAGTGTGGGAGTGGGGATGGCAAGAGGAGGAAACACCTTGGTGCTGCTTTGTGCAGTCTCCATCGAGGGGAGAATCCCTCTCCTGTCACAGGTGCACACCAGAGTGACTGTGCTTAGGCACTCAGCCTCATCCCTTACAGAGCCACATTCATTTTTACTGGTGACAGTTCACCTCCAGCCGTATTTCCAAAGGTGAAAAAGTGAGCAAGTTAGCACGTTTGCCGGGGAATGTACCTGAAATATGGCAGCTCCTGTCAATGCAGCATCTCCCTGGAGAACAGGGGCTGTTTCAGACTCATCCCTCATGGTATTGACATCCCCACATGCAGCTAAGGAAAGCATTTGTACCTCCCTGACATCACCTCTCTCAGGTTGCTTTCCTTATTGATCTTATTGATGGTCTAGTTAAAGTCTCTGTATCATTTTGACATTTTTAATGGCATCTGCATTTACAGAGGAGCGCTCGTGTGAGCTTTAATCAGCTCTCTGTTCACACGATGTTGCTGTTATTATTTATCTCTATTACAGTAACACACTGAGGCAATCAACAAGAGCAGGATCAGACTGTGCTAGGCTGGGACTGAGGTTTGAAGTGGTCTCTCCTTGCCCATGGGAGAACTTGCTGATGATCCCAAAGTGCAGCAGGATCCTGTGGCTCTGCTCTCTGTCCCAGGACCTGCAGTCACTGTCACACACCAGCCAGGATTTGCCACACTAATGTATAGAGAAAAAAATACCTTTTGGTTGCTGAAGTCTTTTGTTTCTTCTGTTTTATAATTTTTACCAGGAGCTACTGGATCCCAGTCCTGTAGCCAGTTACACACTCAAATAGTCTCACACCTGAGGGAGCCTGCTGAGCTCAGTGGAGTTAACTGTACAAATAAGTGCTTGGATTTTAGCTTATCATCCCTGTATGTACCTTAGTAAAGGTACAGAAGTGTCCACAGTGCGGATCTGGGAGTTATCACTGTATCATTATATAAATATCACATCATGTTCCAATGAACTGACTCCACAGTCATTGGAGTCATTGGAGTCCCTGCAATATGGGACTTAGAAGAAAAGGGGAAAAAAACCAACAGGAACTGATAAACTTTGAGCAGCAAAGATCTTATTTTCATGTGAGGTAAAATCAGGTGAGGATGAACTTTCATTATCCACATTTTACACTGATACATTGTTAACAAATTTCACTCAATTCCCTTTGGTGAGATTGGGAGGTGAAATTTGCCACAGGGAGGAAACAAGCATATGACCAAATACTAATTGTAAATAAGTGTTCAAGCAGGATGGACTTACAGAAAAGGAGCTGTGTTTGGGGCAGGCACTGTACAGTTGAAACAAGATGCTTGAACTAATGATGGGAAATGATTTTCCCTTCCTACAAATGGTTTTCTTTTTCCTTCACTTTCTTTCAAAGTGAAAAACACAAACCCAGCAGACAAATTGGATGCTTGGAGCACCCACCTGAGACATGAAAGAGCAAGGATAGAATCATATCTTCTAATGAATGTTATTTATTCATATTAGGAAAATTAATTGCAACTGGAGCTGTATCAGCTCAGAACAAGCCACAGTCTGCAGTCAGGGCTCTGATGTGAGGTGTGGGAAGGCAGGAATCAATCCCCAGAGCACGCAGGATGCAGTTTGATCCCTGAACTCCACTTTCCTGTGCTGGGGGACATCAGCTGTCCTTGTGTGGCTCAGATTTGTGCCCTTTATGGAGATGCAGAACTGCATCCCTTGATGTTCAAGTTGTGCAGAAAACAAATCAGTGTTTCTGGAATGGAAATTGCTGGGGAACTCCAGAAGCTCCAGCAGCTTTGCTCCCTGCCCCAGAAGGCTCACTCAGCCTTAGCAAGTGTCTGTGTGAAATAAAGATAGATCATCTCTTCCCACAGATTCTCAGTAATAATTTAAGTCTTATAAAGAGTAAGATTTTGTTTTCTTGGCTCCCAGTGGTGTTAGAGAGGAGCTATCATCCCTGTTTACAGCTGTGGGGGAAGTGAGGCAAAACAACAAATGATCTGGGATGAGGCACGAGTGGGATCGTGCACAGGGGTACATGGTGTGCTCTGCTCCCTGCAGGACATGAAACCTCTGCACCTGCATCCTCTGACACCATACAGATCTTTTGGAGACCTTGGAATTGTCTTCTGGAGGTTTATTTTGGCTTTTAACACTTGCTCAAGAAACACAAATTTGTAAACTGGTAATCAGCAGTGCAAATTAACTAAGAGCTGTCTTCTTTTTCTGCTGGGTGTCCTCACACTGATCAATGAGTATCCTCCTTCTCAAAATGAAGGATAATAAATAAAAATATTGCCAAAATTAATGGATAGAGGCAGTTTTCCAGTTTATAGCCAAGTACTGTAGAAGGAAAGCGCTATGCAATTTCTAGGACAAAAGCACCAGGCTTAAGTGAGCTTTACATTTACCTTGCTAATCCTGGAAACAGATCCAGGGCTGAGAAGCAGCGCGTGTCACCTGGGATTAGTTTCCATGTTTGCAAATAAAAGAGTTTGTGAAGACAGCCCTGTTGCTGGGATTCCACTCTCCTCTCCTGCCTGGCAGTGGGATTTACTCCACTCGCAGGAGGGTTGATGGTAAAATTGAAACCAGCTCTGAGCACAGCCAGCTGTACCTGGAAAGTGATCAGTAACTCTGTCCTTCCCAGAGCTCTGTTCTGGACAGGATGAGGGTTTTCTTCATCCTTTCCACAGCTATGATGAAAGGCTGCTTAGTGTGGGTAGGGCTGCTGAAGAAATCCTTGTTTTCCTGCTGACTTATTTGCTGAGGAAACCTTGACTTCAGGTGTTTGCTCGAGCTCTGTTGAGTGCAGGCAGCTCAAAGAGGTGTTGTACAGGTGCTGTTTCGATAGCAAATCAGGACAAACCATTCCTGTAAGGCTGACTTCACTCTCCCATCCTCCACATCTTTTCAAAAGAGAAGGGATCAGACTGGATTGTCACATGAAGGGTTCTCCCTGTGCCTTAATGCATTCCATAGGGAACCTCCTCTCCGCATCAGTGGCCAGAGGCTTTGGGGTCCTTCTGTGTTGCTGTTATTAGCACAGGAATTACCTGATATATTCACTCCATACCTTCATCCCTGAGCCTGGGCAGCCTCAAGACATCCTGTCTCCAGTGTTATTGTCTTTCCTTCCGTCTATTTAGTCCAGACAACAAAAGTAAATAAATAAATAAGTAAATCAGAAAACAAGCAACACTAAGGAGAAAGCTTTCTTTAGATTATCTTGTATGTTATCTTATGGGAACATAACAAAGAAACAATATTTGATGACATTATTAAATTGACAGGATTTGCTTGGCAACACCACCTCCCATTAGCAGCACTGCAGGCTGGATGTGACCCTCTGCATCTAATTCCACTATAAATTCATTCCTTCCAGCAATCTAAAAGCACTAAGAAACAGGATATTAAAAGATTTCGGGCCTGATCCATAAGGTGTTAAACAAGTCCTCAACTTTAGGTATAACAGTGGTGCTGTTGTGTCCTTGCACCGTAAAGATGGGCTGGGGGGAGATGCTGAAGCTGAATCTGGGGGAAGATGCTGAAGCTGGGTCTGGGAGGGAGATGCTGAACCTGGGTCTGGGGGAAGATGCTGAAGCTGGGTCGGGGCAGGAGGTGCTGAAGCTGGGTCGGGGCAGGAGGTGCTGAAGCTGGGGCGGGGGGCGGATGCTGAAGCTGGGGCAGGGAGCGGGCAGGTGTTAAAGCCGGGTCGTGGGGGCAGTTTGGGAGCGGGGGCTCCTTTGGAAGGCTCCGGCCGAGGTGCACGCGGGGCTGTGGGGTGAGGCAGCCCCGTGTCCCCGCCCGGGTAACTCCGTGTGTGTCCGCAGGCTGCGACAGCGAACACTGGGGTCCCCACTGCAGCAACCGGTGCCAGTGCCAGAACGAAGCGCTCTGTAACCCCATCACGGGAGCCTGCGTGTGCGCCGACGGCTTCCGCGGCTGGCGCTGCGAGGAGCTCTGCGAGCCGGGCACCTACGGCAAGGGCTGCCACTTCCAGTGCCAGTGCCACCACGGGGCCACCTGCGACCACCAGACGGGCGAGTGCCACTGCGCGCCCGGATACACCGGAGTGTTGTAAGTGCAGCGGGAGCGCTCTGAGAATCCCCCGAACCCATTCGGGTCGACCGCGTTTAACGCGAAGAAATTGGCTGGATTTACAGCCTCTTATACACTGGCCTCTGTAGAAAGCAGCGAACGGGATTTTAGAGAGAATGAATAAAGGGGATCTCTGTTCCTGCTGCCGGCTATACCTGTGTCCCTGAAGGGAGCCTTCAAGAGAGTTTGGGTGGAACAAAGGGTGATGGCTTTAAACTGCCAAGGGCAGGGATAGATGGGATTTTGGAAAGGAATTGTTCTCTGGGGGAGTGTCAAGGCCCTGGCACAGGGTGTCCAGAGAAGCTGTGGCTGTCCCTGGATCCCTGGCAGTGTCCAAGGCCAGGCTGGAAAGGGCTTGGAGCACCCTGGGACAGTGGAAGGTATCCCTGCCCATGGCAAGGAGCTGGATCTGGCTTCAAGGTCCCTTCCAACCCAAACCATTCTGGAGTTCTATGATTCCACGCTATTAAAATAAGCTTAAAAGACGTTTATATTTTCCAACTTGTGCAACAACTTTACCTGTTCCTAATTTCAGAATGTGAATATAATCCAAATCACAGCGGAGTTTTGATAAGCAGTTGGACTCTCTCCTCATTAGCAGTCCAGTGCAGCATCAAATGGGACTTTTCCATCCCCAATTTATTTGACTTTCAATCTAACTGAGAAAGCATTGCTGTTAACTCTATCAGCTTAGTATCTAGGGGGTAAATTTTAAGCACAGAGAACAGGGATTTAGCGGTGTGACTCCTATTAACTTTAACGAGAATCATGTAGCTAAATCCCCATCCACCACACAGAAAGTTTACCAGTAGGATTCACAAAATCTGCATATTAATTTTAGGACAGCAAGCAATAGTTTCTTGTTTAAAATTGCCCACAGTGTAACATCAGTTCTCATTAGAGATCTTTCAGTAGTTTCAGAAGTAATTATGTTTTTCAGAATTATTTAAGGGGAAAAGAGAATTTAGTCACTGAATTTGGTTAGAAATCTATTGTAGGTGAGTTAATACTTTTGCAGTCTGTTATTATTTGTTGACCTGCATGAAGGGGAAGGTAAAAAATAACGACAGAGTTAACCCTCATAAATAAGTGATAGGCCTTGTGAATATTTTATTTAGTACCTGATTTCCTCCTAGACTTGTGACCTCAGTGGTGGAAGCACTCACTACTACAGACTCTGCTTACTCTTGGGAGTGCTCCCCTTGACATCAGTGTGTCAGTGCTCAGCAGGGCCAGCCCCTGGTGTTGTAAGAACATCCTCATCAGAGGACAGTCAGTTAGGGGGACAACATCCTGTAGCTTCAGGACCTCGATGCTGAAAACTCTGATGTGCAGATACAGGAGACACTGGGTTTTGCAGGGATTACCCTCACATTGCCCCCCACGAGTACTGAGAGAGACTCAATGAGCTTAAATAGCCTTTAAATGATGTTGAGTCCTTGCCAGTCCATTATACACTGCAAATGTTAACATTCAGTAGTGACTGGAGAAATTTCAAGTGTTTTAATCCCATCCTTTTATTCTGTTTGCAGCTTCTTTTATTGCCATGTCATATAATTCACATTGAAGGCTTCATCCTGCAACTCATATTTTCCTGGGCTATTTTAATGGTTATGGGTTATCCTGTTGAGATGGGTGGGATTTGGTACATGCATAAAGGTTACACACATGCATCAGCCTTACAGGGCTGGATCCATGGCACATAAACAACCCAGCAGAAATAAAAGGAATCTCAGCTAATTGGCAGTGCCAGCTGAGCCTTACTGAGGTCTCATCATTTGCATGAGCACTCCCATGATGACCCGTGTTGTGGGTTTTCCTGATTTACTGTTTCCTGTAAGTTCTTTGAAATGATCTCTTTGTTTTCTGTTTTCTCTCCCCAAAGCTGTGAGGAGCAGTGTCCCCCTGGCAGCCACGGAGCCCAGTGCGAGCTGCGCTGCCCCTGCCAGAACGGGGGAGTTTGTCACCACATCACTGGGGAGTGCTCCTGTCCTGCTGGATGGATGGTGGGTACTACTCATCCTCACTCAGGGCTTGGAACTGCATGTTCATTGTTCACTGTCTCAGCCAGGCTCTAACAATTCCCAAACTGGCAATTTTCTGGGTGTGCACAGCAGCTCCACAGGCAGGCCACCAATTTGGGACCTGCCACCTTCCCTGGAAGTGTTCCAAAAACACGTGGGTGTGCTGCTTGGGGACAGGGGTTAGTGCTGGGTTTGGCAGTGCAGGGGGAATGGTTGGACTTGATCATCTGAGAGGGCTTTTCCAGCCTCAGTGGTTCTGTGATTCTCTGGCTGGTAGGTGCCAGCACAGAGTTTAAAAACAGCAGCATGACACGAGACAAGAGAGCTGTCTGTGACTTCCAGTTACTTGGAATATTCCCTGCAGCCTTAGGCAGTGCCCTCACACAGGACAGAAAGCTCAAAGCCCAGCATTGTCAGAGGCACAAAGTGTCTTGTTCCCCTTCAGAGGAGAGGGAGAATCCAGGGGGAACCCGTGGCTCAGGCAGGCAGCAGAGCTGAGCCCAGGGCACAGAGGCTGGTTCAGTGTCGTGCCCTTGCTCAGGAGCTGCTGCCATTGATTGCAGAAATTTGCTTGTGTCAGGGCTTGCACTGCAGAGAGACAGCTGCCCTAACCTTTTATCCTTTGTGTCAGGAAAGCAAGGCCAAGCGTTTTCAAAGTCCTCAACTTTATCAATAATGTAATAATGAACTCTCTTGGGGCGTGCCAAGTCTCACAGGCCTTCATCCCATTTAGCTGTACTAAACTTCCTGGCATTTTTCCTGTATCTGACAATTAGTCTCTTGGCAAAGTTGCTGGGTTTTAAAGCATGCAAGTACTCTGAATTTTTATTTTTGTATTGAAGGCCCTGCAGATCATTACATGACTTTGACTTCTGATGAGAACCCTCTACCTGTTTTAACATACAAAAGCTGAGAGAGAGGTTTATGTTTATTTCCATGTGTACCTCAACTGTTTTGAGTTCAAAAGCACCAGCTGTGAGTTGCTGCTGTACATCAGCAACATGGGAGAACGTTGCTGTCCATAAGATTTGGTTGAAAATACCTCAAACTGGAGAGCTGGCATCTCTCTAACACCACCCATCATGGCAAGGGTGGTCATGAGGTTATTCCATTTCAAATGACAAAGACAAAACTTGTCTGAAGCATGAATATGGCCCCTTGCCCTCACCTGGCAATCAGTGGTGGCAAAGAAAAGGTTCTTTCCTTGAGCACTGGAGCATTAGGAAAGAAATTCACATATTTTTGAGGGTCTATCTGTCCATTCTGGCACTACCTTCTAAGAAGTGATCAATAAAGTGATTCACATAAAAATATTACTTTTTCCATCTCTCCTCCTGCATACCAAGATTTCTCAGGATCTGAGTTGTTCTGCTGTATTCTTCCTTACTTGTATTTTATCAGGAATTTTATCTTCTTTTTTCAAAGTTAAAACATCACTAAACAATTAAGAATATCAGAATAGAACAGGAATTGTCTTTTAGGATGCAGCACAGACCCTAAGAGGAACCAGAGTGCTGCCCAGCAGCTGTGGTTATATTCTGGCCCAGTCCTACCCAATTCCTTACAGCCTGGAGTTCCTTTTATGCATTTTTTAGGAGCCCAGAGAGACTTTTCTGAAAACTGTGTTGTTGGCTGCTCTGTCCCTGGAGGAACCCTAGAGTTAACAATTGATGTTTGAAACAAGCATAACTGAAAATTGAAGAGAGAGATCAAGTATTCTGCAGAAAAAACTGAAATTATAAGTAAAAGCACTCAGCTTGTAAATGTTGAGATTTTAAGTATAAAGGGTCTCTCCAGGGTTTTAATGAAAAGCTGGTAATTCAGTGTACAGAGAGGGATAAAAAGTATGTTTTCATGCTATATTTTTAACTCTTGGTCGTTGGAATGGTTTGGGAAGTGAGACATGAGGGGGCTGTAAACGAGCAGGCGAGATGGGATTGCTAGACAGCATTCATTTTATTTCACACCATGGATTTCTGTGACACCAGGAATTTTACTTGCTGATTTTGAGGCTTAAGACTGCACATATATATTGAATATACTGTCATTTTGGAAGGAGAGAATTCTCCCTAGATTTATACAGGTGCAAATCCACTTGGACTTTATTGCTGCTGGATGAGCTGCAACTTTTATCAGTTCCTAGGTTGGCTTATTAAGAGGAGCTCAGCTCCCTCAGGGTTTGGTGGGATGGGGAAGGGGAGGCAGTGACTTTACAAAGAGGAAGTTCTGGGGTTCTGAGGTTCTTCCATGGATCTGCTATCTTCAAAGCCTGGTTCTTTTATGACTTGTAATTTCTTTCCTCCCACCAGCGCCGAATCTCCCAGCAGCACGAGTTCCATGGATGGTGTCCTCTGGGATTTTGCTGCCCCATGGGTTCTTCACCAGGAGGATGGTGGCCAATGGCCTCTATCATTGAACAGTCAACAGAACGTGGCTTCCAGCATCCCATAATGTTGGGCTTTTTCCACTTCTGTGCCTTTGTGGCTGTGGAGTTTAGTGGGTGGCTGCTTTAGGGCCTCATTAACAATTTACAGGTTTAATTCTATACATCTTTCTCATTTGCAATATTAAATTCTCCAAGCGCTCTCAGGAAGTGGGGAGAGAAGTTAATTTAGCATTTACAACGCTTCTCAGAAGCCCTTTGAAGGACTAGATCTCTGTGCTCAGGAAAGCAGCAATATTTCCTGACGTGACAGAACATTTGTCACCAGCAACGCCCCCTGTTTGGCCCCAAACCCCCTTCCCAAGGCATCGTGGTGCCGTGGTAGTACAGCACATTCTGCTCATCACTTCTCTCTTATTGATTCTGGGCATTCATTTGAAGCATCATTTGTATTTTTGTCTATTTTTCTTTCTGTTGTGGATTTTAAACATGGGGGTGTCTGAGAAAACAGATCAGAAAACAAATCTTTTCTGTCCTACAAAATACAGCAAACAATGTCAAAAGCAGGAGCTGATGAGATCAGGGCCTTAAAAAAGGTGCTGATGGGGTGAACTTTGCTGATTAGATGTATAAGCAGCAGGAAATGTTGGTCTGACATTTGATCCTCTAGAGAGGGATGTTTTGAATTCCCTTAGTACATATTAATGCAAAAAGTATAGCTAAAGATTCTCTTGGCTCTGGGGGGATGCATCCCAGAGTATTGCTTTCTCATCATTTGTTGATAGAAATCCTGTTCCTTTTGAGACATGAAGAGAGAAAGTATTTATTATCAAGATAAATGGACCCTTAGGTTTTCAGATATATAGTGTTGTGTATTACTCAAGTCCAGAGACACCAGTTTTTAACACTGTAATCTGAAAGTTCTTGAACTGAGGCCAACCTGTCTGTTTTACAGCCAAGGAGCCACATAGCCCTGCTTGGGAAAGGCTCAAAGTACCTGTTTTATGGTGACATTGAAGAGCAACCTCTTCACTTTGGGCTGTATCAACAGCTAAACTTCCCAAGCCCTGAAGAGTGAAAGCAGCCATTATATTCCTGGTTTATATTTTGAATAAATTGTGTCTGATACGTACTTTGTTCAAAACCCAGAGCCCCCGGGGCTTGGTTAGGGAAACAGAGAAATTAAACCCAAATAATCCTGTGGCCAGACACTCTTTCTGTCTCATGCTGGGCACTGTGGTGGCACTGGCAGCAGCACCACTTGCTGCAGATGCCAAACATTTTCCATTATAGGACCACAACTTCAGATCCCAGCACTGCCAGACTTGTTTTGGCTGAAGTTCCTCAGCTGGATGCCAGCCTCAGGCTTTATATTTGCTCACAGGGAGAAAAACATTCATACAACTTCTAAGAAAGTCTGGGGAAATCCTTGTAAGGCCTTGATACTTGGCAGGGACATTATGGGATACCTGGGGGGAAACCACCTGAGTCTGGCAGGTAAATTCTCCAAAGTCCCACACAAGGGTGAACATTCCCTGCCTTGGGAACAGCTGGAGCAGGGATTACCTGGGAGCTGCTTTACCTGTGGGCAGTGCCAGGGGGCACAGCAGGGACAGGCTGGCTTTGCTTCACTCCCAGGGCTGGTTCAGCAGGGAGAGGAACGGAGGAAACATCTCAGAGATGAGCATTTGGGTCTGGATGGAGGAGAGGATTAAAAGGGAGGCTGCAACAGGGATTTGGAATAGACTGGAATGAAGAGGCAGGAAAGGAGAGGGCTAAGAGCATAAAATGGGATATGGAGTTGAGGCAGTCAGGGACTGAGATGTGGCTCCAAGATTGGTGATAAGGAGCTGGAAGGATGCTGGATGCTGCATCCTGTCACCGTTTAGGGGTCAGGCAGATATTGCACTGCAAAATTCTTTCTTCTGGCCAGAAGGCTGCTGCAGTGCTGATCTGGGGACTCACATTGCTTCTGTGCCATCACGGGGGGCTAATCCATTTCTGCAGCTAATCCTCATTCTCATCCCGCCCCTCCATGGCTGTCCCAAAGCTCTGGCAGATCCATTCTGTGCTGCTTTGAGAGATGGATGTGGGCTGGAGGGAGCAGAGGGAGCAGAGTGAAGGGTGTGAAGGGCACTAGAGGAATCTCTGGCTGCTGTGTTGGGTTGGATGAATGCGACTGGCTGAACAGGAGAATGATCACAGGCCATCAGAACCAGCACAGCTACACCCTCCCAGTGCAACCTTCCCAACAATCCCTTCCTTCCCAAACCTCTGTGCAGCGTGTGGCCAACAGCTTTTCAGACTCTCCAGAAACCCCAGGAGCACACAAACAGCTTTGTAAACTTCCCTGCTTGCCTTTAACTTCTCCCCCATCTCCGTGTGGCTGTCCAAAGGGCAGGGCAAGCCCAGCTGCAGCCTGTGGGGGAAATCCAAGGAAGAGAGTTATCCATGAGTGTACAGTGGAGAGAAAAATCCCTTCTGGAGTCAGGCCAGGCAGGCATTTACTGTGGTAGCAGAGTTTTCAGACTCTCTTTAGCACATCTTATGCAGATAAAATATTGCTGCTACACTTACATCTAGTTTTAGCAAGAAGGACAATAAAATTCCGAGCTGCATAGAGAAATTTATTGCATTATGAATGTTGACTGAAATATTGCTCTTTCTGCAACCTTACCAGGGGCTGGTGTGTGCACAGCCGTGTCCTGCTGGGACCTTTGGAATTAACTGCAGCCAGGATTGTCCATGCCACAACGGAGGACACTGTGACCCCGTGACAGGAAAATGCCTGTGTGCAGCTGGCTATATAGGAGACAGGTAAAAATCAACCCCCAAAGCCTTTCATTTTAACCACAGACTGTCAATATTTATATCCCTTCTAGGACAATCTTCCTCTCTGAAAAACGGTGTTATGTTTCTATTGCTCCAATTAGGTTCATCCTTCTGAAGCACTTCAAGCAATATAAATGTGGCAATGTTATTACTTTTTATTGACAATGCTCTCCATTTACAGGGGTTTTTAATATAACTTTTAAAATTTAATGGATTAAATTTAATTTAGATATTTACAGTGATAAATTTAATAGAGAGCATTACATGTTTACAAGATATGTAAATGAACTATCTTTATACAAATTAATATCCTCAAGAGTAAGCAATGCAGCAGTTTAATGTCTCCTTCATTCCTCTGTGCTGCTGTAGCACCGATCCATCTCAGCCACCAGCAAAAGGTGATAAATCCTCAAAATTTATAAACGAGAGCTTTCACCCATGAATCGATCAGAGCAGATGATAATATTGTTTTACCAAGGTGTCATGGATTCAGCAAAATGACTACACAGCAAAGTCAATGAGGGATTGCAGCACGTGCTGCCTTAGCCTCCAGCTAATCCTGGCTAACAAAGGTTGGGAAGTGCAGTTAAAGCAGCTCTCAGGAGCACTTTGCTTGGGGCCTGTGGCACCAGGGTTTGCAGAGCTGTGCAGCTCACCAGTGGATGTTATGCTAAAGCACTTTCTCCTCTATGTTCCTTTTTTTATTAGCTCTACACTGACATATGCTACAATTATATTTCTATGCAGCAAAGCTCATTGGAATTTTTCCTCCTTGCCTTCACTGAATAATCAGCAGGTCGTTGTAGCACAAAGATCCAACCCTCAGCCCTGTGGGAGGGTCAGAAGGCTGCTCCTTTCCATTACACATGGAGCTTCCCTGTTTCCATTGTATGGACAGTTATAATTGGAGGGGGCTCTGGAGTTTATGTCAGGATTTGCATGGGGTTGAATATGGAGAAAATACTAATTATCTCCAAGTAATTTAGAGGAGAAGACATCAGTCTGCCTCTCTTCCCCATTCTCCATCTGGAGACTGTTTCCAGACATGTGGTACCATATAATTCCTGTTTCTCTTTCTCTCTTTGTGAACACTTTTCTGCTAAAGGAGACAACTGTGTGGCCTGGGCTTTTATAGTGGTGACCACACTTAAATCCTGAGCTGTTCCCAGTGTTGGCCATGCTGGGGAAGGCTGACAGAGCCTCTCTTGCTCTCCTCATTTGCTTGTTGCACACCCTGATGGATTCCTGGCTGCAGGTGAAACAATCCAATCAAGTGTTGGAGCTGCTGGGAGCTCCCAGCCAGCAGCCTGCATCCCTGTTGGGGATGAGGGAAGGGGATGGGAAGAGGATTTTCCTGCTGATTACCCTTGGAGAGGGGCTGGAGAAGGCAACTCAGGGAGAGACTGGGCAGAGGAGGCACATCAGGGAAGACATGGCAGGAGCTCACAGGGCTTGTCCTTGAGCAAAAGAGTGTGGACTCAGAAGATCTGTACCTGCAGAAAAGTGAAAGAGATTTGGACTCCAAAGAGAGATGTAACTTGGAAGGGAGACAGTAAAAAAATAAGGCAGAATCAGTTGGGAGAAGGAGGAAAAAAGTGAGGGAAGGTCACATCTGGACCTGGATCCAAGCAAAACCTTGGGAATAGTTCATCTTCCCCATCCCAGAGCAGGGAAGTGAAACACACTGAGGGGAGAGGCAGGAGAGCAGAAATTCCAGTGTGTGAAAGGATGAATGAGAACAGATTGAAAAGGTAAACAGGCAGTTAGGAAAGCTCTGCTTCAGCAGGGTAAAACTGGATTAGCCTAGAAATTCCCACCTTTCCAACAGGTTCCTGGAAGGTTAAACATGTTCATCTCTCAGCCTTTAATCCCCCTTCCACAGGGGAAGGGAAACCTCAGGCCTGTTGTATCCAGCTGCAGTTCTGCTGGGGCTGGGCAGCCCTGGTTTGTACTGGCTGTACTGGTTTGTACTGGCTGTACTGGTTTGCTCTCACCTGCCCTCACCTGCCTGGGGACACACTGATTTCAGTGAGGGAAGAGGTCTTTAAAGTCTGAATGGCTTTCCTTGGTTTTGTGTTCACACCACAGGGACAATGGGACAGACCAGGCAGCTCCAGTTTAGCTCAGTCTGTTTTACCCTCTGCATCTCCTGCAGCTGTTGCAGCATCACAGCAAAAAGGAGAGCAGGAGAATCTGCTGCACAACAAAACACTGCTTGCTTTAACATTTTACAAGGCATTGAAAAAGATCTTCTTAATAATGACAGATACTCTGAATAACAGCAATAAAGACATAAATACATTTTACCTACTATCATCTTAAAATTGTCAATAAGTACTCTAATGCTACAGTTCATCATCTGTAAAGAAGATAATAATACAGAGTTAGATAAATATCTGTGGAGATGAAATGGTCATAAAGGTCTGTGTGAGTGTAATTGCCACACTTTTGTTCCCTACCTGTTTTCCAAGAGTGGCACTGCACTAAATCTCTAGGAAATTGGCAGCACTGTTAATAACTGCAGGATGCTTTGTGCTCCCTGAAATGACTGGATCTGTCATGGAAATATGTGTTTTACAAACTGGAAAGGAATAATAGCAGAGGCACAGTTAGAAGCTGAGAATGGAGTGTTTCAGAATTCAGTGGCTCACGGGAAAATTGAACATGCTGGTTTAGCTTTGTTTTCCATATTGCCCTTAAATCGAAAGATTGAATCTTAACAGAATAAATCTCACATTTATTAGAACTGTATGGGCAGATTTACTCTCCTGTTGTTGTGTTTGTACTTGTATCTCTTATCTCCAGGTCAGTGCGTTTTAGATGGCTTTTCATATTTGTCTGTGCTATGTAAACATGATCACTGTTTCAAAACAAAGAGAACAGCCTAAAAAACTTAGCAGCATTATTCCTTAAAAAAAGAAAATTGTGGGGAAAAATGTAGGAGCATCTACTAAGTTCATCTGTTAAGCAGGCTGTCTTCTGTTTAATATTTTGTGAAATTGCTTCCATTAATTCTACAGGTGACAGCCATATTATCCTATCCCAACCCAAATAATTATGGTACATATTAAAGTTCAGTGGATATTGTAATACGAATCTCCCCAGATAGGCAGAAAGCAATGTAAATTAAACAAGAAACATAACTAGGGCTTAGCAGCTCATTTTGTAATTTAATTGAACAATGTATCTGGTTGTTAATGGTGCTATGGACACATTAGATTGATATGTTGCAAAGGAAAGATGTTTAAGTAGAAAGCTAATTCCTGCTGTGATTATTCTCATGTTCCAGAGGAGTCATTATTAGTATTCTTTGTATAAAATTCATTAGCGGTAGCTGCTTGATCTCCAAATAAATAAGTTGGTTAAATTGTTAGTAGAAAAAGGCTAATTATGTAAATGGATTAGGTCGTCAATATTTCATTTCCAGATGCTTTTCTCCCTGCTAGGTAATGCTTCATCTCCTATAAATACAGAATGATACAGTGCACTATTGACTAAGAATTCACCCCGTGGAGCTCAGAGCTCTCCTGCTCACTCAGGGTCTGTGCAGCAGTGGGACATGAGGAGCTTCATTGTTCCTTCTTGCATTTCATTTGCTGGGAGTGTTCCAGCCCCACTGTTACTATTCTTTTCTGGCTCTTTCCTTTGCAGCTGAACCCCCTGAGAGCAGCAGGGCTCTCTGTCTCTCTGGTGCCTCTCCAGACTCATTCCCTCTTTGTCCCAAACTCCTCTCACTTTGGGTCTCGTATGAACTCCTCACTTTGGATTTGCAACCAGCAACTGCTTTGGTACCTGCTGGAATTAAATCACCAGCCAGGCCCTTCGCTGTGTTCATTTATTTTTAGTAAAACGTGATAATCTGAAGCTGCAAAAGTAATGCCCTTCTTATATACTGCTTGTGTTCATTGCAGTTTTGCCTGGCTTGCATCACACATTAATCTTTTATTACTGATCATTATATTAACTCTCACCTGCCAGCTGTGAAATGACCTGCAGAAAGACATTTAACAATTGCCTCCATCCACTGAGTTTACAGTATACACTTTAATCAATGCTCAAGCTTAAATTAATGCTGATAGGCAATTTCCAATGCCTGGCAACCATGTGATAAGGGAATTGGGCTTTTCTGGGCTTCTTTTTTCTGTTTTTATTAACTGAAAAGGCCTATCTGTATTTCACGGTGGATCATGTAAACTGTGGTACTGACTCCTTGCAGAATTTTGAAACCACTGAATTATGTCAAGCACACAATCAGTTGCTTTCTTCAGGACCTTAGCTGAGCTTTTCCACATAGGAAATAATCTGAACTCTTAAATTGGTTGTATAGGACAAGGAAACAGACTTTTTGGCAGATCTCGGAACATATCCAAGTAGGGAGATATTTTTAACAGTGCATGGAAGGTGCAATTTAAAGCAATCTGTGTAAAGTGTTTGCAGGTTCCAATTTTATGTGCATCAAATATTAAAAATGTTGGCAATTTTTAAGAAGATTCTCCACTAAGGAGCATGAAAGTGATTTTTATTGAGATTTTATACTACTGAGCTACCCTGGAGTAGGAGAAGAAAAGCAAATTTAAGCTTCTAGTTACTCAGAACACACACAAAACACAAAGGGGTTTCTTTTCTCCTTGTTGGTATAAAACTGGTGCAATGGCAGCCAAGAGGGTGAGTAAAACTAGAACATTGCTGGAGAATGTTTTGCTCAATATTGCTAAATACACTTTACCTTTTAACCTTCCTCATCACTGGGAGGTCCACGTGCTCTCAAGGGAGGTGCACAGTCCTCCTGCAATAAAGAGAAGTCAAACAGGTGAGGGGTTTTATAATAAAATATTTTATTGCCTATCAGTTTCTTACAATTGATGAACACAATTGTCAAGGTCCAGGAAAGAAGACTGCATTTTGTGAATGAAGGTGATATGAACTAATTCAAATTTAGCAGGATATAATTGGGCATGGATGAATGCAGTTTCTCTTAGCAGCAATTTGCATGCCCAAGATATCCCATCGCTCCGGTGATACCATCAGTTCAATATGTTGCTTAAATAACTGAGGGATGATTGCTCTGGTTTGTATTTAATTCATTAACAAAAAGGTTCCAGTGTAAAAGCAATGTCCTGCTGAGGTTGTGGCTGTGGCTGGATCCCATGTCCCATCCCATGGCAGGTGTCAGGAGGAGTGTCCCATCGGCACCTACGGCTTCCAGTGCACACAAACCTGCGACTGCCAGAACGGGGCCAAGTGCTACCACGTCAACGGAGCCTGCATCTGTGACCCCGGCTTCAAAGGCATCCACTGCCAGGAAAGAATGTGTCCTGAAGGGTTTTATGGCCTCAAATGCAACAAGAGATGCCCTTGCAATATTACCAACACCCTCAGGTATGTACGTCATGTAATATTCTTGTGCAGGGACTGCTCTGATAAAAGCACTGGGGAAATATTCACCTAACTACACCAACTGTTCTTTTCTCTGTAGCTTTTAGAACAAACACAGAGAGTTTATCTGGTTTGCAAAATTTTGATTTAAATGACCTCAGGCTGGGAACCATAAGCCTCAGTCCAGCCAGATACTAAGCATGTATCTCTTAACAGTTCTGGTAACACCTGGAAGAGCCTGGCATACAGCTTTGTCCTGTAAATCTAGGCATGAGAACCATGGGATGATGCTTCTATGTGTGGATAATAACCCACTGAAATTTAAAAAATAGATACATATTTACTCAAATCCATTACTTTCCCTCTTTTTTATGACATGGGTTTGCTTGTTAGATCTATAGACAGCAAGGGGACTTTCAACATGAAACCTAATTTGCTTCAGCTGATGTCTCATGGCAAATTACCTTGTTGGAAACACTTGAGACAGATGTATAAATAGACTGAAATCAATATCCCTGAGTCAGTCTGTGGAACTGTAACACAGTTGACATTGTCAAAATAGACTCCTCATGTAAGCCTATTTTTGCTCTTCTTTCTCTTTGTGTATGAGGAAAATATTCAGGAAAATAAATATCAGGGAATTATACCTACAATGGAATAAGCCTCACTTAAAAGGTCAGGGTTTGATGTTTTATTCCCTTTTTTGCTTTTTTAAAGATCTGATTCTTGAGGTTCTCTTTACTATGAGACAGATCCACAAACAGACTTGAGTACTTTGAATTTACTTTCCCATTGCAGGTTTGAATAAGTTTTCCAAACATCGTAAAGAAGGAAGAATTTAAGACTCTTCCCTATTATCCTCTTTGTTACCTTAAGTAACTCCTTGCCTTGTTTACTGACTGCTGGAATTGCTGTTTGGAGAATCCTCACTCCCTGGTTTGCAGTAAAGGGAGCCTGGAGGGCCAAACCCCGCTGGCCTGAGCTGTCTGATGGACAGGAGCCACATTTCCTCACCTGCACAATGCTGAGCCCTTCAGCTCTCACTGGATTCCCTCCTCTCTCTGCCCATCCCTGTTCAGCAGGCAGAGCCAGTTTAGGGTTGTGGAGGTTTCAGGGGGAGGTGGAGATAATTGATGTCCAGGCAAAAATGCCCTTGATACCGACATTCTTCAATTTGGAAGCAGACAGGTGGGGACCTGACTGTCCTGCTGATGCTGACAAAGCCACCTTGCCATCTTGCTGCTGCTAAAATATCAACACACTCAATTATGTATGCAGGAAATGGCACCTCATTTGTGTGCACTCACAGACACACACACACACACACAAACACTTCAGGCAAATCTGTCTGTGCACTTGAGATAGACCCTATTTGTCTCAGTCTTGGAAATAAACAGGTGATTTTCCTTGTGAATTCAGCTGTGAGTGGTGAGGCTTTGCTTAACTGAAAGTCAGAGCTCACAATGGATTATTTAAAAACTTGTAATTGTTGTGATACAACTCCTGTGCGGGAAGAGAGCTCCAGCTCAGCTGGATTTGACAGCCAGGATCCAGAAGGTTTGAGGCTCCCAGGGAGCTCTGTACAAGAGTCTCCCATCGCTTCTGATTATGTTGTGTATCGTGAAATCACTGCAAAAATACCATCCCTGAGGCATGAGCTGCACATTATACACAAAAGGTTAGTGCTGTGTTGTGCTGAGCATGGGGGATGCCTCAGGAATTACTGCAGAGTGAGCTGAGGGATAAATTCCTGCGTGTCACATCACTGCAGCACCTGTGGTAAATCCAAGTTGAATTTCTCCTCAGTGTAAACTGTTCTTCAGGTGTACAGGAGAGTGAGAATGTGCTCATGGTCAGCAGCTGACACTTGTGTCTTCACCCCTCCTGAGCGTGCAGAAACCTGTTTGTTTCCATAAAGGTAGAAACAGAGTGGAAGGACTGCAGGCCACTGGCAAGGCTGAGTTTGGCTGCAGTTCCTCTGCTGCGTGCTCAATTCCTGAAGAGTCTTTTAGGTGGGGTAAGACCATGGGTTGGAGGGTGAAAAAATTCACCCTGTGTTACTCAGAACTGCCTGGGAGGTGCTCTGAGGGTTTGCTAGAGGATCTTTCCCGAAAGAACAGGCTTGCACCTTCCAGCTGCGAGAAAAGGTCTCAGAGGGGTTTGAGAGAGCTCAGAAATGGGGAGGATTGAAACCTCTCCCAGCTCTTTTCTGGGCATGTGGTCATTCCAGCACACCCTGCCTGTGCCTGGTTGCTGTCTGACGGGAACATTTTATTCCTTCCCTCCCAACACTGCTCCGTCAGCGTCCCTTGCAGCATTCTCTGCTGAGATGGTATCTCTGGTTCCTTAATAAATGAGTCTGGTCTCTCTGTTGATAAAATCTCCCTTTTTCCTACATCTTATCACTGCTGTTATGGAACAAAGAGATACCAGCAAGCTGTAGATCAGTAAATGTTCTTTCATTCTTCCATAGGATTTCAGCTCTCCACTTTTCCAGCAGCTCTGCAGTGTTGTCAATTGCTGAGCCAAGGAGCGTCAGAGCTGATGGAAAGTGACCTTTTCCAAAGGCACTCCATATTCTGAACAAATCTTTGTGCTGATTGTTTAACCAGTCCCATACAGTGCACTTCTCTTCCCACCCACCTCTTCCCATTCCTCCCTGAGTGTTTGTCCTTTCTGAAACTGGGCTCTTCCAAAGTGACTCATTTACCCACAGCCATCTATTTTCCCCAGGAGCAGTTTAAGCTGTTGACTACTTGTGATCCCAAGTGTGGAGGATAATTATTAAACACTTGTAGAAGGTGAAAGAAACTCCTGTCTCTGGATTTGTCTCGTTTGATCTGGTTGCTGGAGAGTTGACTGAAATGGAAAGTTCTGAGGGCTTTGAGGAGTAGCTGAGGAGGAACAGCAGGAAATACACAATCAGCTTTTCCATTTCCATAGATCTATCTATTTTAATGTCTGAAGACATCAGAGTGATCATCTGGTCTAACCTCCAGCATGGTAATGACTGAAGGACATCATCCAATAATTTCTGCATCAAAGCACACTGAAAGGCACTTTGTACAGGACTTTGAACAATCCCACAATTAGGTGATTTAGAATGTGGTGGTGACTTGGACTGTCCTTCCACAGGAAAGGATACACCTGCAAAAAACTTCCCTCAGCAAAAAGTCCATGTTGAGACAGCCTACAATGACTGGAAGGGAATAATCCTGGCTTGTTCTTCTGTCTGGCAGCGAGGGAAATGAACAGCCGGAATATTCCTGGCCACCCACCCTTCCTGAGCACCGGTGTGGGGCCACCCTGGGGCACCAGGTGCCCTTGGTCATGTCTTAGGTCAGAGATGTGAGAAGGAAGGAAGCCACTGAGACAAAGTCCAATGGAATGGGAAGATCTCCACAGTCTCCAGTTAATGCTTCAACACTGGCAAGTTGGGGAGGACCAAACCCCGTGGAGCTTCCATGAAGTTCTGCCTTGATCTGAGTCAGTAATGTGCTGGACTGAAGGAGTGGCCCTGCAGTCTCACTGTGGCCACTGCTTTAAAGCAAGAGGCATTTTAGTAAGGGAGACTGGATGTAGAGTGGACAACATAATACAGAAATACTGTAAAATAAGGATTAGGCTGCTGAGAATGAAAACGAGATGACTGGTGCTGCTGTATAAACAGAAAACTGGGAAATTCACTGGGAAGGTGTTGCTTTGGCTGAAAGATGTGTGGAGAAGAAATTCAGAATTTGGAACAGACTGTGCTGTCTAAAACACTTCTAATTTGCCTTGAGAAGTTTACCTGGTTTCCTCAGTTTTCCTCAAAATTAGATGTTTAAAACATTTAAAGGTCAAAATACCTTTATTCTTTTCAATTCAGCTGATAAAATTTTTAAAAATAAATCTTTTATTGCTGTAAACATGGCTCAAAAGCCAGGGATTGTACAGTAGCTTTCAAAGTGCAGCAGGAGCCCTGGAACTCTTTCCTTGTCAGCCCTGATGTGTGGACAGCTCTGCTCCACCTCTGCTTGGCCTGGAGCCACAGGAACACTTGGCTGCCTGTGTTCACTCCTGGTTTCTACTCTGCTTCTTCCTGTGATGCAGGAGAGTTGAAGAAATAAAAGTTGTTAAGATTCAATACAAACTACAAAGGATAACACTGCCAAATTCTTCAAAGAGTGTGAGGTTCCCTTGCTGCTCCCAGCAAGGGTTGGAAAACAGATGTTGGTGGGTTTGCCTTTGGGATCCTTTTGGAACCCTCCCATTCTCTCACTCATCCTTCAGTGATCCTTCTGCAGAAGAATTGTTTGTGTTCATTAATTTCAGTTTATTGGGAGCTGGAGAAATGCCTCACTGTGACCCCTGCTGGCAAAATGTTACATGGACACATGGCCTGGGAAGGTGCACTCAGAAACGGAGGGGAGGAATTATACAGATATTTATAAGAATTTCTAGCTGTATTTTCTATTCAAGCTTTATTCTGCCTCAAATGTTTCAGCTTCAGTCCAAATAGCATTTAATTCACTGGGCAGTCTGGATGCATGGATGTTTGGGTGGGTGAGAGGTGAATTTCCTGGCTCTGTTCTATATCTAGGTACATACTTAGACCAGAATGTGGTTGTACAAAATTGCAGCAGAAGAGAAACCTTCCTAATACACACAGACATCCACACATCCACTATTCCTACATCATGAGCTGCAATATATTTAATGTGTAACTCTGCTCACTTTAATTAGTGGAATAGTTCATACAAACCAGAGAGAAAAAATAATTAATATAAAACCTTTGTACTATTTGGTGATACCAGCTGCAGATCTTGAAAGGGTTTCCAAGGGAAGAAAGGCATCATTTAGAAATGGGAAAAATGAAGGTAGAAGAGTCAGTTAGGTGGCCAAGATTCCCTGGCAGGATTGGGAAGAGAACAGCTGCCTTGTGCATTTTGGGAAAGCATTGAAATCTCAGCCCTCCTCAAGTTAATGCTGCATCAGGCACCTGGATTGTCAAGCAAGGACTTTGGAGTCGGGAGAAAAACAGAACCTGATCTGCTCAGGCTGATAACAAAATTATCCTTTCTTCAATGGGAAGATTCTGTGGATGGAGGGACCCAAACCTCTGCCTGGGATTGTCCTGGCTCACAGTCCCATGGAACGTGGACAGGGCTTTGGTGGGGCAGAATACACCCTCAAGCTTCTACTGGCCTTTGTTTTGGAGTGCAAGTTCCCTGTCTCCAGCAGATTCTTCTGGAAAAGCCTGTTTGGTTTTGGTTCTTGTTTTAGTGCATGTCAGGATGAGTTTTAGCCCTTTAAACACAGCTTGTATCCCATGCTGATGAGGGAGCCAACCTCGAAGTAAAAATTCTGAGTGAGTGTAGTATTTTCTGCTGAATTGTCATAGACTGATTCACACTGCCCTGGTCATACATTGCCTTTGAAATATTTAATTTACCCACCAGATGCAGTTCTCATGGAAGCACATGATACATGTAGCAGTAGTGGAAAGAGAGAAACACAAAATTCATTTCAAAATCCTTCTTTAATGTTGAGCTTTCTGCTCCTATTAGGTAATGATTAATAGACACAGGGGGGAAACCTGAGCTTTTAATATTTTCATCTGAATGTTAAGAGGTGCTTTGTGGAAGACCATAATTTCAGGGACTACTTTGTCACGGATGGGAGTTTGTTATGCTGATGAATTGTTTTAATTAGTCAGTAAAACACTATTTATGATGAAACATTTGACACTTAGAAAATTTGATCCTTTTTAGTAGCAATACTATATGACCAACCTCTCCTACCAGAAATTTCCTGAAACATAACTGGAAATTACATTTTATGAGGTTACCTTGAAAATTAACATATACAATATTAATTTTATAGGTGTAAAGAAACCCATTCAGTCATGTCTACAATCTTAAACTGTAGCAATAAATAATCGTAAAGGAAAAGCAATTGTTTCTGGAATGCAAAAAATCAGGAGACAGCTCAGAGAGAGATCCCACCTTGCAGAAGTCTATTCTTCTTGTTCTGAGAGTAAAGAAAACGGGATTTCTGGCAATATTATTTCTCATCTCTCTCACTGAGGACTGAACAGTGCCATCACTGTGCAACGCTGTGGTGCAGAGGGCACAGAGCATGCTGAGCTCTCAGGTGCAGCCTCACACTCCCAGCTGGCCTCAGCCAGCCTCCATCCCTGCAAACCAGGAGCTTCTCCAGCTTTCCTTCCCCTCCTCTCCCAGCCCCAGCCTCCTGCTGTGGGATGGTGGTGCCCTAAAGAAACCTCAAGGAGGAAAATGCCCAATAAAGATAAACTTTCATGCAGAGATTTCATCTCACCAACATCTAGCTATAGATGCAGAAGGACCAGGCATTGTCCAGTCTTTTGGGCTCAATTCTTCTTTCTCCTTTTCTCTCCATGTGCTCTCACAGTAGTGTGGAATTGACTGAATAGAAATGAAAGCCAGAGGATTAATGTTGTTCATTATGCAGCAAAAAGAAACTTGACTCATTTCCCTGCACAGCTGTGACTTAGTCCCAGGGCTCCTGCTAACTCCTGTCCCAAGTAAATCCCAAGGCTTCAGGTGCTGATCAGTTCTGGCCACAATGGCTGAATATTCCCTGCAAAACTCTTCTTCCAAGGACAGTTTTCCCTTCCAAAGCACTTTCCTTTCTACATGTGCCTGCTGGAAAGTTCTGCTGAGGTGGCATTCACTTTCAAAATACAAATGACAGTGGGACAGGACAGAACGGAATAGGAATGGGAATGGGAATGGGAATGGGAATGGGAATGGGAATAGGAATAGGAATAGGAATAGGAATAGGAATAGGAATAGGAATAGGAATAGGAATAGGAATAGGAATAGGAATAGGAATAGGAATGCTGTGCCCTTGAACTCAGGTTTATCTTCACAGCTCTCTTGATTGCATTCCTCCACCCACTGGAATTTCTCCTATCCCTGAACATCTTTAGCTGGCTGCATTACAGCCAAATAGTGCAGCACATACCTATCCTACAGCTTGTAAGGATTAATGGTGTGGTTGATGCCTGTAATCCAACTCACATTGATTTGAGAATGGAAGACCATAAACTTCAAGGTGTAGACTACCCAGTGCTGTGGCAGTTCCCAGATGTTTGGAAATCATGGACTATTTGGCACCAGATTCTCTATTCACTTCCCAAATTATACAGCTGCTCATATCCCCCACCCTAAAGAGTTTCCAGGCTTGGCCTGTTTTTACTGTGACACGTGGAATGTCCTGGGCTGTATTTTTCCTTCTTGCCCACATCTCATCAACATCTGTTTCTTCATTAGTTGCCATCCTCTGTCTGGGGAGTGCAGCTGCAAGGCTGGCTGGGCCGGGCTCTACTGCAACGAGACGTGTCCCGTGGGTTATTACAGCGAGGGCTGCCGGGTGCCCTGTCCCTGCCACAACGGGGCCGACTGTGACAGCATCACCGGGAGCTGCATCTGCGCCCCAGGCTTCATGGTGAGTGGGGCTGGGCCTGGGAGGGGCTTCAGAAAATGGCTGCAAAAATGAAAGAGAGTTTTAATCTGATTTGAAATAATATTTGCATAAAAGCAGCCAAATGTGGATTATTTTCGCCCATTCCACATCGCTGTCCTTTGAGCAGTGTCAGTCTGTGGCTGCTGGTTGTTTGGTTAACATCACTGTTCTAAGTTTACTGCTATTGTAAAGATAAAGATATGGTTTCCCATAGTATACTCTAAGTCAAGACATAACAAAAAAGGTGTCAGATTATTGTCTGCCTGGAAGAGCAGAGAAAGAATTCTCATGGCCATTCAGCATGTTCCTTGTCAGTCACACTGTGATTTTAATAGATGAAGATATTTTAAAATGTTGCAAATGATAGAGCAATTTATGTCTTTTCTGAGCCTGTGTGGCAGGTGTCTTTTACCTGAGCATCAGAAAGAGCTTCAGACATTCTGAGGTAAACAAGCATTGCATTTTATAGGTGAGATGTAAAATGGCTGAAGAAACGAGCCAAGATGAAAACATCAAAAATTCTGAGTTAAGAGTTTATTGCCAGGCTGCAGCAGAATGTATTGGGACATGGATCCAGGTGTCCAGTCCTGCTAAGGCTGGGCAGAATGGAATTCTTGACAGTAAATTCCCTGGTTATCTGTATATGAAGCTTCCCCCCTTCAGGAGCATGCCATGGAGGAGAAGTGCAGGCTGTGTTTAAAAAACAATACTTCCTGAAGGAAAAAAAAATACTTTAAAGAGTGAATTCCACCAAACTTCACAAAAAGTTGGCTTTCTCTGTCCTTCATTTTACATGATCTATCCCCACAGGCCTATCTATGTTTTCTATACTATAATAACAATTATGAGTTATAATTACTATATTTACCAGAAATCAATCAGGCTACCCAGCTGGGACAGATCCATAGGGTGGAGGTCCTGTATGAGATTAGTGGCATGCCAAAGACTTCTTTGCCTCCTTTCCTTCTAATTCCACACCTGAGCTGGTGATCCCCAACTGGCATCTGCAGAGCTGTGCAATTGTGTTATGGCTTAAAGACACTTTTTTTTCTCTGCCTTGTGTCAGCAGCTGAACCTGAAAGTTGGAACTTCCACTGATTTCGAGGGGTTGTCTCAATGCCAGGTATTAACAGATTTATTTAGGTGTAAGGGGCTGGACTCAAAAGCATCTGTGCAAGATAATGGTACTTAGAGTTGGGGGGGAAACAAATGTCTTTGAGGTTTGATTCCCAGCTCCACAAACAGAAAACAAGAATCTATCTTCTCTATACAGTAGTTGACACACAAGTAGAGGAAGGATGAAGGCAGCAGCATGTTAGTAACAACTACAAAATAAAAAGATGCCAAGATCCTCCTTTTTATTGGGAATGCTGTCCAAATTTGCAGTACAAAAGCATTTAGGGACCCTTTACTGTACACATTTTAAAAAAGCATACCTTGTCCAATATACATTGCCCCAAGGCAGCATTAGTGCAGGCAGAAAGCCTGGGAAGTTCCTATTGCATTGCTTCAAAATAATATTTAATCTCATAATAAAGAGCTTTCTTGCATTGACATTTAAACAGCTTGGTTATTGAGGATAGCTCTATAATCACTGAAGCATATTTAGGCATTAGTATCATTGCTCTCACATAATATACTATAATCTCTGGCAATTAGTCCATGAGGGGAAGTAAAGCCTTGAAATTGCTAATTTATTGCCTCTGAAGCATATTTGTCATTCGTGTGCATGCCAGATGAGCTGCAATGGTTCTTTCAAGTGCTGCAGAACACAGGCTGTGCAGAAAAGTTGCTGGGAACCTTTTCCTCCCCCCCTGGGGCATTGTCCTGCCGGGATGCTCCGGGCAGGGAGGAGGGGAGCTGGAAAAGGCTGTGGGGCCAGAAGCAGGCTGGAAGTGCCTTATCCCAATGATGTGCTCCAAGCCAGGCTTTCCCTTCAGATATTCCTGCCTGGCTCTTGCTGAGGGAGCAGGGGAGCTTTGCCTGGGGGTAGAGCTTTGCCCTTGAGTTGGGCGAGTCCGCGAGTGCCGGTTCCGAGCTCAGGATGTGTCCTCTGGCAGAGCTGGCAGTGGAGCGCTGCTAAAGCAGAGCTGGGCAGAGCTAATTATTCACAAAAACCATAGATGAATCCCTCTTGCTTTTTCAAGCATGAGGCTTGGCTGAGGCAGCCACATGGGCAGGAATTTTGCCACATAATTGGGAAGGATAAAACCGGGAGCAACATCTTACATTTTACAGCAATGTTTGATCTATGTGTGATCCTAGGGCAGAGCAGTCTGAGGGGCTTCTCAGGAAAGGGGAAGGAAGAGAAAATGGTGGGAGATGGGATAGAACTGCAGAATTTATCTGCAAAGGCAGAGAGGTTGGATCCACAGGACTTTGGGATTACAATTGCCTGGAATATGCGGTGCCCAAGGAAGGACAGTGTTTTCCTGACAAAGCACTCCTCCTGCCCACTCCTCCAGCACAGATGGTGGGTTTTTAACTCACCCTCCCTGTGTCAGGGCAGCTGGGCTGGGTTTCAGGATGAATCATCTGCTCTCACAGCCAAAACAGGGACATTTTGTTGGGATGCAGAACAAGCCATTAAAAACACAAAGCATCTGGTCACCTTTATTAAATGTATTAAGTGAAAATGCAGCCATCCCATAGGCTGCCATGTACGTGATCGGAGCACTTAAGTTTTGGAAATTTAAGAAGATTTGAGTTGTAACATAAAAATGTATACGATAGCTTAAAGAAAATACATTATTTATTAGCTGTGACGTTTCCAAAAATTAAAATGCCCAAGCTAAATAGTGGTGAGCTTGCAGTTTAGGATAGAATTTCAAAACATCTTCTGTCTTATTTTTTCTGCGCATGTTTTGGGTCAGACTCAAGAGCCAGATTTGCATATGTCTGGCTCTAAACCCAAATGACAAAGCTGTTGTTGGGGAGCAGGATATTTGTGTGAGGTGCTGCTGTGACTGTGATCCCATGAAGGGAAAGCTCTGTTTTACCTCTGCAGATTCTGAACCACCGTGCAGAGCTGAGGGATCCACAACCCAAACCAGGCAGTTCTTGGAGGCAGCATACAGGGCAATGAAAACAGGATCATGGTGGAGGAGACACAATAAAATCCTCCCCAAAATCACAGACCTATTCCCCATTCTCCACAGGCCTGTTGGGAATGCTTTGCTTCCTGCATCCCACTTGTAAGGGAGGATAAAGGCTGTTTGACTCGGATGATTGCAGGGAATCATCATTACAAGCATGCCAAGAGGGCACTTCCCTCCAACTGGGACTTTTAACATATTTGAGGGTTTCCTCTTAGCACTGAAGTGATGAATTGCCAGAATGCTCTTCTGAAGAATGGTTTTGTAAAGCTGTTCTGCTGCCATCTCTTTTGTGACCAGAAGGAACCTGGCAAACACACACAGGGAGTGCACAGATCAGCCCTAAAAAGCACCAGGGGAGAGTCTTGACTGGTAGAAATTGGATCCTCCCTCCCGTGTGGAAATGGCTGCTGCTTGCAATAAATTATCTCAGTGCAATTATGGGGATGGTGAGAGGGGTTATACTAAATTGTACCACCCCCTCCTTCCAAATTCTCCTCCAACATGTTCTCCTGTAAGTTCACTGAACTCAGGTGTGCAGGAGGGACATAAAAGAAAGTGGGACTTGCCATGTCCTCTCTCCTCTCTTTTGTTTTTGGTTCATTGAATTTTATTCCTGTAATTCAATAAACGTGGTGGAGAAGGCCAGAGGATATGAATTAAATATGACAGGAGACCACAGGAATCCTGACCTCGTGTCTCACAAGAAAATCTTGAAACCAACCCCCTGCACATACCTATCAGCATTTTAGCTGCTGAAATCATTATAAATGCTATTGAGATACAACTAAATTCACCTTCTCGATTGCACAGCTAATTGCAGCTTCCCTGAAAGCAGTGGCTATCTAGAGACCTCATCCTGTGCTATGCCTTTGTTTCTTTATGGATGCTTTGTTTTCTTCTTTTGAAAAATGGGTTTAACTTCAAACACTTCCATTCTGTGTGTTGTGGCAAGGAGAGATGTAGTTAAAACATTTCTCAGCCCAAGACACTCCGAGAAAACTTTTAACACTTCTCTGTGGAACGTGCGGTCAGCTTGTACTTCAGCGAGCAGTTAGGTCTATATTTCACTTCCAGATGACAGAACTTATATTACTTTAAAAAGTTCATCTATTTATGCTGCTATTTTTTGAAGACCTGTCTGCTTTTATTGAATCCTGCGTGCTGGCAAGCAGAGCAAGCACTTCATCACCAAAATGAAAGAATCCATTCTGACATTTCTCTATTTCTTCGCTATATTGGTAGATCCCACACGAGCCAATCACACACTACAAAGTATGGAAACTACAACAGTGGTGATCACTTACTAGAAGATTTTTCAGCTTTTGGAATGGCTCTTGGACTCCCTAAAGCTTTCCAAGATTGATCCCAGGGTTGTGCATCTATAGCTATTTGCATCTTCTGTTGGCTTTGTATCAAAATTGCATTTTAAAAGCACAATTAATGCCTTTCAAATACATCCTTATAGAGGTGCTTATGTGTATGGGTCTCTGGCTGGGCTCAGTGGGAATCTGGGCACTTAAGCACTGAAACACAGGCTTCATTTGGGTCTGTAAGTCCATAATTTTGTCTGGCATGCCTGAATTTCTCAACATAATGCTTTCTCTACCACCGGGGTACAAATTGCTCCCAGGGTTTACATCAGAGTAAAACTTTACAACCTACCTGCACATTGAGTAAAAGTCAGCCCTCGAAGCACACAATGAACAGTAGCTCGAGCACTTAGTAAAAATAAGTATAAATTATAGTGCTCTAAAGCTATTCAAATGCACAGCAAATGCACACCAAATTTTGCAATGGATAATCTCTTGGTCAGTACAAACACCCACACAAAGACCAGTCTTAGCCTGCTCTGTACCTACTCACTGAGTAAAATGACCAATTTAC